AAATGCATAAAATGTAGGATTACAAAGGAACCAGTTGTATTGAAATAGTTTATCAATATATTTTTTTAAAAGTTCATGGACCCTAGGTTAAAAATCTCTGCAGTTGTGATGCAGTAGAAAAAGTAATGATAGCTGATAATGCGTTAACATTTATATGGCACCTAATATATGCCAGATACTGTGCTAAGTGCTTTACAGTGATTATTTCTTTGATCCTAACAACAACCCTGGGAGGTAGGTACTATTATTATCCCCATTTTATAGATGAGGAAATTGAGGCAAATAGGGGTTAAGTGACTTGCCCAGGGTCGCACAGCTCATATTAATAGCTAGTAACAAAAGGTAATATTTCTATAGGGCTTACTATGTGCCAGGCATTCTGTTAAGCACTTTTCACTGATCTCATTTGATCCTTACAATCTTGGAAGGTAGGTATCTTATTATCCCCATTTTACAGCTGAAGAAACTGAGGCAGAATTTAAGTGACTTGCTCAGGGTCACACAGCTAGTAAGTATCTGAGACTATGTTTGAACTGATGTTGCTTCCGTTCCCCCAATCCCTACCCCTGAAAGGCACTGGAGCTATCAGTCTTGTTTCTCTTTAATGGGAAAGGGGTGAACTCAGGTCTTCCTGTCTCCAGGCCTGGCACTCTGTCCGCTGTACCAAAAAAGGCATTGGCTTTGGAGTCAGTACCAAGATTCAAATACAAACTGCCATTTACTACCCAAAGGACCTTAGGCAAGTCTCATCAACTCTCTGGGCCTCGGTTTCCTCATCTCTAAAATGAGGGCCTGAGTTTAAGGTTCCTGCCAGCTCTGAGTCTGTGATCCTAGGGACAGCCTTGTAGGGGGCAGCCTCTTGGTTTGCCCAGCTTCTTCCCTCGTGTTCCTCCAGAGCACAAGAGCTCTCTGACGCTGGCAGGGCCAGAGGCCACAGAGAGGAGCGCCTGGGTTCTCTGCGGTCTTTTCTGTGTTCCCAGGCTTGCCCGGCTGTGCTGTGTGCAGAGCTGAGGGAGGGGTCCTGGGCTGACTGTGCTCTTGGCTCGGGGTGAGTGGGATCCTGAAGCGTGGGGGAGGAGCAGGCCTGATTCTGCAGTAATCCCTTGAGCCTGCCCATTTGCAGCAGGTCCCTGCTGGCCTGTCAGCTCACCATCCTGCCATTGTTAGTCACCGTTCTAACGAAGCTGGTCATTAGCTTCTGGGACAGATGATTTCCAGGGGATTATTTGTATTACACACTTTAATGCTTTTTAATAGCAAATTTTTAATTAAATGGGAAAGGCCTTTTGGAAGCAATGAGAGCAGCTGCCACAGGCACACTTAGAACAAGGCATGAGTTTGGAGGAATGACTGGGTAGTGCCTCCTGGTTGAAAGTGCTAGAGAAAGGATGGATAGGGGTGACTGATGGGTGTGAGACTTGGAGTCAGGAAGACCTGAATTCACACCCTGCCTCATGTACCCACTAGCTAGCTGTGTGACCCTGGGGAAACAATTAACAGTCCTCAGCCTCAGTTTCCTTATCTGTAAAATGGGGATAATAATAGCACCTCCTTTACCAGAATTGCTGTGAAAATCTAATGAGATAATACGTGTAAAGTGTTTCATAAACCTCAAAGCACCCTATAAATGTTAGCTAGTATTATTATTATTAGCTATTATATTACTGTATGAGGCAGCTAGGTAGTACAGCTGGACCACCTAGGGTCAGGAAGATCTGAGCTTGAATATGCCCTCAGATACTTTGTAGCCGTGTGACCATGGGCAAGTCATTTAACCTCTGTCCACCTCACTTCCCATCATCTGCAAAATGGGCATAATAATGGGACCTACCTTCCAGAGTTGTATGAAATAAGGTGATATTTGTAAAGCGCTTTTCAAACCTTAAAGTGTTATATCAATGCTACTGTTGTTGTTATAGGTTATGAAGGAAGCAGAATATGGGGCTTATGCATCCCCTTCCAAAGGCCTTTTCTTTCTTTGCTGGTCTTGAAAGGGGTAGCTTTCGATTAAGAATGGGTTCCTTTGAAGGCAGGGCAGACTTAGGAACCCCAGGCTGTCTTTGAGGAGCAAGATATTGCCTGTCCCTTAGGATGAATGGTATCTGCCATCCATCCCTCTCCAAGAGGTAGAGAGAAAACGAGGTGGATGAGCAGTGGTTCCTCGGGTACACTGTAGGCATTTCATAAACGCTTGTTGATTTTTTTTTTAGCCTTTGGCATGATTTATAATCTTGGATCAAATTAGGAAGGCAAGCAGGCTCCACATGACTGTAGCCTTAGTTCTGCTTGACCTTGAACCAGTTTTGCCTCATTTTCCTCATTTGCCAAATAGGGATGATGGCTTAGTCTTTCCACTTTCCTTCCCTCCCCTTCCAGGGTCGTTATCAGGATCTCCTGATAAAACATGTGCAAAAAGTAGATCTCTTCTAAAAATATGCAGTGGTTCGTATTTGGGCTCTTGGGTAATCCTGGGCCAACAGCCTTCATAGAAGTTGTTCCTCCTGGTTTTATACCTCTGGCCAAGAGCTTTCCTGGTTGAGTTTGGGTGGTGTTGAGCAATACCTTTTATATTCCAGAAGACAGGGAGGGAAACCTTGTGGGGCCCAGGGCAAAGCCTGCTTTTTCTCCATGGAGAGAGTTCAAGGGAAGAAAGTAGCCGGAAGGAGAGGATCCATCCTGCCTACCTTTCGTCTGAGATGGGAGGAGCAGAGAGTACTTCTGCCAAGGGAGTTTAACGCCAAGGGCTTACTTAGGTGATACTTCCATCAGAATGATGATCAGGGCTTGGCAGCCTACCCAGAGGTGGCTTTGTGGGCAAAAGATTGGAGAGGAGACCTCAAGAGAAACTAGGTTGGTTCTTGGCCCAGAAGATGTGGGGGCAGGGTGTGGGAAGGGAGTCTCTCCTTCTCTACTTAACCTTTATGCATGGTCTATCTTTTTTGGACATCTTGCCTCATTGCCTTGGGTATCTGCTGCTGCTGAAGGGCTGCCCTGGGTCTGCTTTCAAATGCCTGATCATCTGGTACAATTGTCCTTTGCCCTGAGTGATCTGGATTTTCCCGACCCCTCATCCACTTTCCCATAATTCTCATCCCTTAGCTGTTCCTTCCCCTTTCCTACTTTCTCTTACTCTCTCCATTCTTTCTTCGGATCCCCTTCACCATTTTGGTTTTCCCTTCTGTAAGCTCACTCTCTTGGCATTCTTGCCTAATTCTTAGCTACTTATTGACTTTAGCATCTTTCCTCACCCATCCCCTATGACATTTCCCCCCTCTGCTTCTCTACTAATATCCAACAGCAAACATGTATTTTAAGGCACGTTATGTACAAGGGCAGTGGGCTAGGTTCTGGAATCCAGAGATTAAAATATGACATTGTCTCTTTCTGCAAGGAGCTTGCAGAATATCAGGAAGATGAGACGTATACACCAATCTCCATGAGACAAGTTACAATGTGACTAGCCCCCTCTTTTGCTATATATTTGTATCTTTGAGAATAGGTGAGATCAAATCACAGCATGAAAGACTGAAGGAGGGAGGGATCCTTTCTAGCAAAAGGATGGGGCAGGGAGGAGAAGTCAGGGAAGACTTCTTGGAGGAGATGGTGGCACCAGAGCAGGGCCTTTAAAGAGGGAAAATTTCATCAGGCAGAAATATGGAGGAAAATCATTCTGGGGATTGGGGAGGGAGGCGGGGATGGATATACAAGTGCATGGAGGCAGAAAAAGGACAGATTCAGCTTTCAGAATAGTAAGTAAACCAGTTTGACTGGAGCATAGACTATGAGATAAGGCTGAGGAAGTGTACCTTTGGAGTCAGATTGTGAAGGGCCTTGAATGCCAGGCTAAGGAGATTGTATTTGACTTGGTAAGTGATGAGGTTGTGCTGACGTTTTTTGAACAAATAAATAACTCAGACTTACAGGTTATGAAGTTTCCTTTTGGGAGAATTGCAAAAGGGAAAGGCTAGAGGCAGAGAAATTTGTTTATTATAATAATCCCCAGGCTGAGCAAAAGAAGTGAACCATGCACAAGTATAGAAAGGAAGGAAGGAAAAAAAATAAAAATTAAAAAAAAGGAAGGAAGGGATAGGAGAGATACCATGGAGGCAGACCCGATTGGGTTTGACCAAAGATTGGATGTGGGAGGCAGGAGAATGGGGAAAGCTGAAGATATAACTGAGGTTTCAAGCTTCAGTTAGTGGGGAGAATGCATTGCCATTAATAGAAATAGGGCAGTTTGGAGGAAAGGAACAGATGGGGGCAGGGGGGATATGATTAGTTTTGGTAGACTGTAAACTCCCTGAGGGCAGAGATTTTGTGTCCCCAGCTTAGTGTGCCTGGCACATAGTAGTAGCTTAATAAACGCTTGTGGATGGATTAGTTAGTTCAGTTTTAAACCGGTGAATTCGAGGTACTGGTAGGAAACATTCAGCAGGCACATAAAAATTCAGGACTGGGGCTTAGCTGAGAGGTCAGGACTGGAGATGTAGGTATGAGGGTCCTCAACAGTGGAGCTGTGGGAACAGATAAGAGATACCCAGGAAACAAGAAAGGAGAAGAGAACCATTTTTTTCCTCTGCATCTCTTTAAAAAAAAAATTATTGATTTTTTTTTTTGGCATCATCAGATTTTCTCCTTCCCCACCAGATCTCTCCCAGAGAACACTCCTCTTCTTTCTCTCTTCCCTATGGAGTGGACTTCCTGGTTTCTTTTCTATCTCAGCCCAAATCTTCCATCTTTTGGATCTGTCTCCTTGTTCTGTCTTGTTGTAGTGGATTGCGATCCTTTCTTTCTGTTGCCCGACTTGGAGGGCAACATGCGTGAGCCCTGATGAGAAATGAGCTCTTATTATCTCCTGTCAGTTGTGGAGTTCCTTGGAGAGAAGCGAGTACGTGGGCCAGGAGTGGGCAGAGAGGGCAAGAGTCTCTCCACCAATGAGATGCAGGCTTCCTGAGTCTTCTTTCTTGCTAACCCCTCTCTCCCTGTCTCCTCTTTTGCAGTGCGCCTCCATGACAGTATTTCTGAAGAAGGGTTCCACTACCTCGTCTTTGACCTGTAAGTGCCCCTTTGCTACTGCCAGGAGTTGCATTAGAAGCATTTGGGCGGTTCCCTCCACTCTACTCCTTCCCCAGCTTAAGAAAAGGCTTGGAATTCAGGACTCCAGAAGATGGTGGGAAATAGTGGTCTCCCCAGAGGGCCTTTTTTTTTCCCCTTCAGCCTAAGAAATAGAAGGGGCTCGCATAACATTGTGGATAGAGAGAGCTGACACAGGAGTCAGGAAGTCCTGGGTTCAGATGCTGCCTCAGGCACCTACTGAATTTGTGACCCTGGGTAAATCATGGAATTTTTTTAAGTGCCAACTCTCCAAAACTATAGGTTACAGAGAAGGTGTTGACCTACATTGGTAGAGAGAGTCTCCTTCCTGAGAGTTCCCTACACCAATGCAGGCACAGATCCGACCAGAAATAAATTAATAGATGGAGATAGATAAATTTATAACCCTCTTTTGGCATTCCCCACCCCGTTGCTGTTTTTTTGGGGGGAAGGGGGATTTGACCCTAGGGTCAACAAAGGAAATGGAGACTTCTGCACCTTTAATTCTCTGAAGGAGATGGAGGCTTTGAGGCTAGCAAGGAAGACTCGAATTCAAGACCTGCTTCTGATCCACACTAGCTGTTTAACCTCTCATTGCCCCCAAGCAGCTCTCCTAAGGTTCAAAATGATGTAGACAGCATCGGTGATCAGCACTGGTGGGTGGAGTTTCTACACAGGAGTTCCTCACACCGATGAAATCTGCGGCTGTCACCCCCTGCCAAAAAATGCTAGAGGAAGCATATTGGCCTTTATTAGTAACTTGGCTCCATGTGGCTTCTGCTGCTGCAAGACTGCAGTTGTACATCTTGGAAATGCCTTCTCGGTTTTCCTGGAAGCTTGCTTTCCTGTGTTTTAGCTACTGTTTCACTAGGCCCAGGTGTCCGTGGAATTTTGTCACTCCTTACATTTAATATCGGCTTTCTCCCAACGGGCTCATTTGTCTCCAACCACAGGTGTTATTTTGGGGGACAGGCCAGGTGCTTTCTCTTGGGTCCCCATCTTATTTCCTTCTGATCCTCCTAAACAATGTGAAGGTCATAGAAATGTGACTGAAATGAAGGTAGTCAATAATCAAGGTGATTAAGCACCTACTATACGCCAGGCACTGTGCTAAGTGCTAGGTAGTTCAGTCCCAAGGCTCTACAAGACTGGAACAGGGCCATCTTTAAAGGAAGAGAGCGAGCAGAGATGACCTTGCCTGGGTGGTTCGGGTTTGGCTGGAAGCGGGTCTGTGTAAGTGGATTCATCGTTGCCCATCCTCAGACTGGGATTTGGGGATCTTGCCTTCTGGCTCCTCTAACTCCTTGCTCCCTCTTGTTGGGTTACAGCGTTACCGGCGGGGAACTGTTTGAAGACATTGTAGCCAGAGAGTACTACAGTGAAGCCGATGCCAGGTGAGCGTCAGTTAATAGAGGTGCAGATTTTTTTTCCTGCAGTATTTAGTAAACTCCCTGCGGCTTGGGTTCTCTGGGTTTTGATCTCAGTAGATTTTGTTGTAGCTCTTGGCTGCCTTGGTGGTCCAGGTGATTTGCCTCCCTGAGTCAGGTGTGATAAAGTTAGGAGGGGAGGTCAGCTGGTGTAGTGGAAACAGGGCCAGCCTTAGGATCAGGAGGACCTGAGTTAAAGCCCTGCCTACCTCTAACACATATTATGTAATCATGAGCAGCCTCTAAGTGCCTCAGATAACTTGCTGAGACTTAAAAGTTATGAAGAAGTTGCCAGTCTGCCTTGGGCACTACCAGTAGGTATACTGGTGAAATCTCAGGTCTGTACTAAACAGGGGGGAAAAAAAAAGATTGGAAATGTTTTTTTCTCACAAAAGGGGTCATCGGTTCTGGACTGATCCTGAATTTCTTAGGCTAGGGCAGGATTGTAAACTTAACTTTAAGCTTGCCTAACCAGATTTTAGCCCAATTCCTCCAGAAATGTCCCCTTCCAATGCCCGTCCTCCATGGGGCATCCACTCCTGCATCAGCCACTCTGATACGACTTACATCCATTCCTTTATTCAACAGAGAGTTATTAAGCACTTGCTACATCCCACACACTGTGGGAGGCAGGATATAGAGTACAGATAAGTAAGATAAGATCCACGTCCTCAAGGAACCATTCTTTGCCTGATTGCCACATCAATATTCTATTCCTAAAGCACACGTCTGACTGTGACAGAATTCTTAAGACTGTGCTTAAGAATCTCCAATGGCTCCCTATTACCTCTGAGAAAAATACAGACTCCTTTGGTATTTAAAGCCGTTGCTAGTCTGGCTCCAGGCTACCTTTCTAGGCTTGTTGCACAGTCGTCTTCATTCAATGCTTCTGCATGCCAGCCAGACTGGCTTTCTTGTTCCTTGTACACATCACTCCATTTCCTATCTCTCAGCCTCTGCCCGTCCCCTCCCCGTGCCGCTGCTTCTATCCCTCTTGACTTCCACCTTTAGAATCCTGAGCTTCAAAATGTATCCCAAATGCCACTTTCTACACGAGGCCTTTCCTGATGACTCCCCACACTCCCTCAAGAAAATTAGTCAATGAATTAGCAGTCAGTAAACCTTTATTAAGCTTATACTATGTGCCAGCACTGTACTAAGTGCCAGGGATACAAATAGATGCCCACAAGGAGCTTGCAGTCTAATAAAGATTAAAATTTATTTATACAAATCTTTTATTTATTGTATACATTCTATAATGTATACATATATAACGTACACATTGTATGATATATTACAGTATACAGTATATGCAATATACATACATATGTTGTGTACATCTTCTCTAATATCTGCCCCCTCCCCAATGGATCGGAAGGCGGGGACTGTTTCATTTTTATCTTAGTACCGAGCACACTTCCTGGCACATAGTAGGCACTTAATAAATGCTTTCATTGAATGAGTATTGAATAAATGAATTGGCCCAAGGAGTGCATCTCTGAGACTTCTGGTCTCCTGATGTCTTCTGACCACTGTGGCCAGCTGCCAAATCCACATCTTGCCCTCTGGAGCGAGGTCTCACCACCCCAGAAACTTCTTAATAAAAGGAGTTTTCTTATTCCTGGAGATAGCTGTGATATCCTGGTGTCCGAATCTTTTGAAGAGCGTCTCCGTGCAATGCAGGTGTTTTCTAGATAAGCTTTGTCCAGCCTCCTCTCTAGACTCATAATTCCCCCTGCCCCCATCCTGGCACTTCCAGGTTTGTGGGGGTGGGTTGTTCCTACAGCCTGGCCTGGGAGGAGGGAGGGCATACCTTCTGCCTGTGGCTGATTTGAATCTCAAGATCACTGGTCACTTCTGGAGGAGATAAAGTTTCTTAAGGCCACTACTTCTTGATCAGTTTCAGATGCTTGAGCCTCAAGAAAGCTCTCAAGTGGGAAGATAAATTCTAATGCCAGGGGGGATGGCCTGGGACCCAGTGGGGGTGGGGGAGAAAAAGGGAGGAGGGAGATAGCCCTGGGAGCCTGGGGAGGGGGGAGTGCCGTGGCGGGAAGGGGGAGTGTAGGGGGATGACGGTGCCAGTGGGCTTGGCCTGGCTCAGCTGGGACACTTCACACTTTTGCCATTTTTGGCCAGAAGGCTCTCTGCCGGCCCAGCTCTGTTCTAATTATACATTTTTGTGGAGAGAGCGGGGAGTAGCCTCCTTGTCTGGCCCTGCAGCCTGTACTCTTGTGTTGTAGGGATCTGCAGAGCCCCTTTCCTCTGATGGGAGTCCCAACATGGGGTTTTGATGGGAGAAATTGGAAGTCAAGGCTGCCTAGGTGGAAACACCAACATGAGAGGCTCCCTATTCCATTCCAGGTGCTAAAAAGTCTGTCCTGGGCTTTTCCTGTCTCCCCAGGCAGGACACCCCTCCCCTGTTCTCTGGGAACTCCCTAAACAGTCGGTGGGGATATGTAGTATGGTGGGTAGGACGGGATGTCTAAAATTCCATGTTTCAGAGTACCACTTGAAGTCTGAAATGTAGGTAGTCCAGATTGAAGTGACTTCAGGGCCGATTATGCCTGGTGAAAGGAACTAAGTCATTGAATGTCGCTTGAGCCTGAGCTGGTTTTTTTCTAAACAAAAACATGACCTAGACCTTTCCTTCCCTTGACCTTCCCTTGGGCTCCGTTTGTACATCTCCTCTGGTATTTTGTGTTACAGCTCACTGTATGTTGTATGGTTCACATTTATAGCACGTTAAGGTTTACAAAGCACTTCATATATCTCCATCAGTCTTCATAGCAACCTTGTAAGATAGGATGGATGTTCTTCCTACCCTCATTTTCCAGATGATGAAATGGAACCTCAGCGTGGTTAAGTGATTTGCCCAGAATCCCGCAGCTACTCAAATGTTTGAGGCCGAATTTGAGCCCAGATCTTCCTGCCTACAGAGCCTTTCATTCTGCCAGTAGAAAATCGAATACTATTAATTGATAATTCTTATTAACAATGATCTTATCTTCCTTGCTGGTCTATAAGCAGGGACCATTTCCTGTCTCATCTGGCACCATGCCTTTTTTCTAGTAGGTACTCAGGTGTTTTTTCATTCACTCACACCAGCAATTCTCAAAATTATTGGAGACCTCCCCCCTCCCAAAGAGCTTTTATTTATGTGGATTGTAGTTATTGATATTTACTATGTTAGAAATGAGAACAACTTAATATTATTATGAAAATAGTTTTTTAATCTCCTGGACTCCTTGGTCCTGGACTGTACTTGGAGAACCACTGATTCATTCAGTAAATATTTAGTGCTGCAGAGTAGATAGACACACTAGAATGGTAAAACTGCAAGGCACACTGGGGAGCTAGGGCAGAGGGGTGGGGTTGAGGAGGGCTTAAGCCCAACTCTGCCTCCTACCTTGTTCCATACACACACTGCAGGTGGCTTCTCAGGCAGCCAAGAACAAGTTTGAGGCGGGCAGAAGTAACTCCAACAGTCTTGGCTTTGTTGCATCCAAGGATCTTTTTGTGGATCCTTGGAAGCCGGCTCTTGTCATTTTGGGGGGTCTCTTGGGACCTGGTCACGAGCTTTGGATGAGGGCAATGATCTGTCCACTCTTGGGCTTGGAATGACTGTGGTTTAACCCTGCTTCCTTCTTTCTTTCCCATTTGCTTTTTCAGCCACTGTATTCATCAGATCCTAGAGAGCGTCAACCACATTCACCAGCATGACATCGTGCATCGTGACCTCAAGGTACTGACTGACTGCATGCCTACTCTTGCTGCACCTTGTAGCATCTTGGCGCCATCTGGTGTCGAGCACTGGTAGTGCTTGGACCGTAGAGGAGATGCAGGAAGTCCTTTGACTTGGGTTGCCAGAGTTTACTCTCCTCTGCTCATGCTGTAGGTCTTGTGAAGAGAAGATTTAGGGGGGCCCTGAGAGCTAGGGCATTACAAATTTCTCTGTCTTCCCTCTTCAGCCTGAGAACCTTCTGCTGGCGAGTAAATGCAAGGGTGCTGCTGTCAAACTAGCTGACTTTGGACTGGCCATTGAGGTGCAGGGAGATCAGCAGGCTTGGTTCGGTAAGGGAGGGACACCCCCCTTCCTGGGATGCACAGCCTCTGTCCCTTTACCCACTTTCTTGGGATGCACAGCCCCTGTCTGCTTTCCCTTTCCCCTCTTCCTTGGCTACCTTCACATAGCAGAACAAAAGCTGAAATCTCAGAGTTTCTTACCTCCCTAGGTCACCCAGTCTGGCTATGTCCAGTACTGGGTCAACTTTGTGATTCTCTGTCTTCCTTCCATTCTGAGGAGATGAGCAGGAAGTTCTGGGTGCCATGTAGTCCTGTTTGCCCATCCTTGATTCTGGGTGGTCCTCACTGTTGTCCTTGTTTTAATGACTCCATCCGGAAGCTGAGTCTATCTCTGCTACCCAGAAACTAATACTGATGCATATTCAGAAAAAGCTACAGGCCCGGGCAGCGGGAGGAACTTGGAAAATGAGGTGCCCTGCATATGGTGGTATGGGAGGCAGACACATATACCAGTGTCTTTTTCTCCCAACACAGGCTTTGCTGGTACGCCAGGGTATCTGTCCCCTGAAGTCTTGAGGAAAGATCCCTATGGAAAACCTGTGGATATCTGGGCCTGTGGTAAGCCCTTTTAACACTCTCAGCTGTGAGTATGAGCAGCCTTAGTTTCCAGGAGAATTGAAAGGGGAGGAGGTGGTGGTGGTGAATGGGAGTCCTGCAGTCACATGGCCAGTTGGTAATATCTGAATGGATGGAGCTAACTCCAGTGGCCAGGAGACCGATATTCACCTCACAGCTCTCTAATCAAGTGAACAGAGAAGGTTCACTTGCTACATTACATTAGGCTTCCTATTCTTAAGAGGAACTAAACCAACACCAGGGAGTTGGTTCAACTGAATACAAATTATATGAACACCTACTGAGTGCAAGGATAAATGTCTCCCTGCCTGTTAGGCTGATTGACTCAGTTCCCTTCACCCCCCATACCCCCAAAAAAGGTGAAGTAGGGAGCACAGCTTTAAGGTGATGATGAGAAATTCCTTTCAAATGAGAAAATATTTGTAAAGCGCTTAGCGTAGTGCCTGGTACATAGTAGGTGCTTAATAACTGCTTATTCCCTTCTTTACCCTGAGACAATCACTCACACACACACACACACACACACACCCCACCCCACTCATCCATCTCTGATTAGCTCTAACCTTAGTTTGGCTGCCAGTTTGCTGAGTGACTCTATTCCCTGGGTCGTCCCTAACCTGTGCCTTGGGGTAAACAGCTGGCCCTAGTTCTGTGCTGTGCTCTGTGTCTTCCTGTAGGCGTGATCTTGTATATACTTCTGGTGGGATATCCTCCCTTCTGGGATGAGGATCAGCATAAGCTGTATCAGCAGATCAAAGCTGGAGCCTATGACGTAAGGACGTGCTGGGAGGGCCTGACCATACCCTTAGTGTGGACCTGAGGGGAGAAAGGGGGCTGGGGAGCATTGGGGTGTGGCCTTGTTTGGTCTTATAGGCCTTGTCCTGTTCTGTGGGTTACCTGTGGAGGGGCTTATGGTGCCCTCCCCTCCCCCAACCTCCCTGCCCGAGGCAGCAACTTCTTAGAACTGAGAGAAGGAGAGAATCCCTGGAATCCTTCTGTTTGTCACTTAACAGAACCACATTAACTTCCCCCCATTTATGCTGCTTTCTTTCTTTCTTGGTCATGGAGTATTTGGTCATTTGTGTTCCTGAGGCTTTGGAACACATACTATTTAAATCTCTAATACTTTCTGTGTTGTCTCAGTGGACCAGATCCCGTGGAGGGTGTTCAGTATGGGAAACTGAGGCAGGGAAGAGGAGTCCCTTTGCCTGGTGCAGTACAGTGCTCATGTTTTCCCCATTTCTCCTTCCCTTGTTTCTGCTCCCTAGTTTCCATCACCAGAGTGGGACACTGTGACCCCTGAAGCCAAGAACTTAATCAACCAGATGCTGACAATAAATCCTGCCAAGCGTATCACAGCTGACCAAGCACTGAAACACCCATGGGTCTGTGTAAGTGTCCTATTTCGGGGAGAACTGAGGCCCTGGTTAGACAGCAATATGATTCAATAAAGATCTGGGGGTTTTAGTGGACCTCCAGCTCAGTGTCAGCTAATGATATTGTGCTACCACCCCAAGACAACTGTGTGAGGATTCTCTACACCCTGTACTAGCCAAAAGATGTCTGGACTTCATGCTTAGTGCCAGTTTCCATATTTTATGAAGGAAATAATCAAATCAGGAATATCCAGAGGAGAGCAATGATGAGGGGCCTGCAGACTGTGTCACAGGAAGATCGGTTGAAGGGATTATTTAGACTGGAAGAGAGACTTATAGAACAGCTATCTAAAAGAATTTGAAGGGGTACAATGTGAAACAGGCAGTAGCTTTATTCTGCTTGGCCCCAGAGGATAGAGGTGGGAATAGACGGGGCTGGAGGGGCAGGGATTACAGACAGGCCAGTTTAGGTTTAGAAAATGTTCTACTAATTAGAGCTATCCAGAGATAATAGATTGCCCCTCAAGGGGGCGGGTTGAGGTGGGGAGTGCATAAGCATTTATTAAGCACCTGCTGTGTGTGAGGCATTGTGCTAAGTTGGGCTTTACAAATATCATTTCATTTGATCCTTATAACAATTCTTAGAGATCAGTGCTGTTATTATCTCACTTTATAGTTGAGGAAACGGAGGCAATTAGAGATTAAGTAACTTGCCCAGAGTCGCACAGCTAACACATATCTGAGGCTAGGTTTGAACTCGGGTCTTCCTGACTCCAGGCCCAGTGCTCTATCCATTCCTCTACCTAGCAACCCCTAAAAGTGAAAAGCAGACGATTGTCTGTTGGAGATGTTGTAGGAATAATTCTTCGTCACATACAGATTGGAGTAGATGTCTACTAGGATCGTTTCCAACTTTGGGATTCTGGGATTCTACAAAAGGGCATTTTTTCTCTCCAGAATATTCTCTTTACTAGATGACCAGTCTCCCTGTGGTTTGGTTGTATTCTTGCCTGGCATTCTTCTTCGGTCTTAAAAACTCTGAGTAGCTTGTGATGAGGATTTGTCTAGGAGTATCTAATCTGAGTTGACATGCTCTGTATTTGTTATATGAGAAATACCTTGCTTATTTAGAACTTAGCTCCAGGAAGACCTTATCTATTGAGAATAAGGCTGAGAACTAGCACCACATGCCCCATCCCCCAAAAAAGGTCCATGGTCAGCAAAAAATAAGAAATGGAGGAGAGACTCTCTGTTAGATCCTGTTTACTTTTACTTTGTGCACAATTAGAGCAAGCTTTTAGTTATTTGGTTTCTAAACTCATAGCAGAACAGAGGTAGTAAATTAGAAGAGGAAACACATGTGGCCATGGGCAATGGAACTGGCAACAACAAGCATTTGTTAAATGCCTACTATGTGCTGGGCACTGGAGAAAGATTGAAATGAAACTGTCATTGCTCTCAAGTTTATATCCAACTTGGGGCTGGAACATTTATTTTTACAGTTAAGTAAATAAAAGAGAGTTTGAGCAGGGAGAATGTGCCTTCAACTAGGGGAATCAGGGTGACTTTCTTTTCCTTTTTTTTTTGAAGGCAAACTAGATTAAGTGACTTGCCCAGGATCACATAGCTATTAAGTGTCTGAAACCATATTTGAACTTGGGTCCTCTTGACTCCAGGGCTGGTGCTCTATTCACTGTGCCACCTAGCTACTCACTTTCTGCAGGAGCTGGAACTTGAATTGAGTCATGAAAGAACCTAAAGATGTCACAAGGTGGAGAGGAGGAAGGAAGGCATCCCAGGAATGGGATACAAAAGTGGGAGGAGATGGGGTGCCAAGTTCAAGAAATAGCGAGTGAGTCCAGTTTGACTGGAATGTAGAGTATGTGAATGAGAGGGATGAATGTGCAGTCAAACTGGAAAGATTCTTGAGAAGAGAAGTGACCTGAGTTTTAGGGAAGATCCTTTTAGGTAACTGGATGGAGGCTGGATTGGAGAGAGGGGAGCCTGGAAGCAGGGAGACCATTTGGGAGGGTATTGCTCTCATCCAGGCTAGAGATGATGGGGTCCTGAACGATGGTGGTGGCCTTGTTGAGTGAATGCTAGAGATGTTGGGGTGGCAGAATTGGCGTGACGTGAGGGTTGAGGAAAAGAGAAGAATTGGACATGACTCCCAGGTTGTGAACCTGAAGAACTAGAAGAAGAGAAGTCCCATCAGCAGGGAAGTTGGGAAGGGAGTCAGGAGGGTAGGGAATGAGTTGGGGGCTCTGTTCTGCACATGCTGCCACTTACTACCCATGTGAACTTGGACAAGTCAGTTACCTTCTTGGAGTCTCAGTTTCCACGACTGTAAAACGAGAGGGTTGGACTGGATGACCCCGGGTTCCCTCCTAGCTTTAAATCTACAGTTGTCTGATCGGAGCCCCAAGTGTTTCAGACTGCTAAGCTGTTTGGGTCCCTCCCATGGGCAAGTAGCATGTCTAGATCCTGGGCATCTTCCAAGAAGAGCCATCAGAGTTTGAGTTTGAGTCATGGGAGGGAATGGAGAACTCCAGTGCTATGCCTGAAAGTGTCATCAGGGTAACCCCACAGTCCTTAACAAGGAAAGCCGAACATTTCTGGCTCTACCATTCCAGATTCCTGAGTGGGATTGGCAGAGCTCTTCCTGCTTTCTGTGGGAAACTTGAAGCAGCTAGGTGTCAAAATGGATGGAGTTCTAGACCTCCAGTCAGGAAGAGCTGAGTTCAAATCCAGCTTCAGAAACTTATTAATTCTGAGATCCTGAGCAAGTCATTTTACCTCTGTCTGCCTCAGTTGTAGCACTTTGAGTGGTAAAATGTTTCCCATATGTTATCTCATTTGATCCTCACAACAACCCTGGGAGGTAGGTGGTGTTGTTAGTATTATTTCCATTTTACAGATAAGGAAGCTGAGGCTTAGGTTAAAAGACTTCTCCAGGGTCACATAACTAATAAATATCTAGGGCATGATTTGAACTGGGGTCTTTCTGGCTCCCAATTCAGTGTTGTATCTACTGTACTCTGTAGCTTCCCTGTGGGAAACAGCTAACAGGCCAGCATGATTGTAGTGGAGAGTGTGTGAAGGTTCGAGAACATTATGACATAAGACTAGAAAGGTAGGTGAGAGCCATCTTGTGCCAGGCTTTCAATTTGCCAAGTGGAAGACTTTGTTTTTGTCTTAGAGGCAATAGGAAGCCACCAGATATTTTTGAGCATAGTAGCGATCAGATCAGGTCTGCAATTTAGGAATATTAATTTGGTGGCTGTTTTGAAGATGGATTAGAGAGGGAGGACCCTAGAAGCAGCCTCAGTTATAAGGCCATTGCAGTAATCCAGGGGAAAAATACTAATGCCCCAAACAAGTGTAGAGTCTATACGGTTAGAGGAAAGGTGGTGAATAGGCCAGATGTTGTGAAGGTAGAATAGAGATTTTTTATTTTTAATTTTATTTTATTTTTGTAACTGATTAGATATGAGATGATGGTGTACTGAGGGGAGAATCAAGTTTGACCTCAAGGTTGCAAGCTTGGGTGACCACAAGGGTGATGGTTGCTTTCCATGGAAATCCAGAAGTTAGGAAGAGGGGTGAGTTTGGGCAGAAAATCAGATGGGCGCCATTTTGGTCACGTGGATTTAAGGTGCTGATGAACCATCTAAGCAAAGATGTTCAGCAGGCTGTTTGTAAGAGAGGACTAACATTCAGGAGGATGAGAAGGATTGAATGTGTAGATTTGGGAGTCATCTGCCTAGACATATTAATCAAATCTGTGGCATCTGACAGATAGAAAGTGAATAGAGCCCAGGTCAGAGCCCTGGGGGACACCCACATTTGGGGGCCTAGAGATTGATGCTGATCTGGAGAGGAGCCTGAGAAGGCAAAGTCGGACAAGTAGATGGCCAAGAGTAAACAGTGTCGTGGAAGCTTAAGGAGGAATGTAGTATGTCCAGGCTGGGAATGAAGGGATGGTCTGCAGGGTCAGAATATACAGAGGATAAATGTGATGAGGGCTGAGATGAGGCCACTAGTTTTAGAAGTTAAGAGAGTGCTGCTAACCTGGGATCAAGTCATTTCTCCTTTCTGGGCCTCAGTTTCCTCATCTGTAAATTGATGAATGCTCAATGACTCTTCCAGATCTAATGGTCTGTGGTTCTTGAAGTTTGTTATTAACAGACTGTCCTTTCATTGCCTTCTGTCTCCTGGGAAGATTTGAATACCCTCCGGAGGCATCATTAGCCAACACTGTTGTTTATTATTCAGACTTTTATCATCCTATAAAACTTGCATTTGTATAATGCATTATCTAAAAGTACTTTCACATTGATGATCTCATTCTGACCTCAGCAACCCCATGTGCAGTAGTGAGTGCAAGTATGATTATGCCCATTTTTTGGATGCCTGCTGATGAGGGTTTAACCTGTCCAAGGCACAATGGCATTCTTTCTCATCTGGGCATTGGAGCTAGGAAACTTGGCTGGAGCGCCATATGCAATGCTTGTGCATTCTCTTAGTAAAAAGCGTAGGGTGAACCACCTTCTCTGTTTGTCTTTTCAGCAACGTTCTACAGTGGCCTCAATGATGCACCGGCAGGAAACTGTGGAATGTTTGAGAAAATTCAATGCCCGGAGAAAGCTGAAGGTGAGTTGTTCCCCCTTTTCTCCCCAACTAATCCAGCTGTTCTGCTACATTTAGCAGTTTAGAAAGTTGAGGAGTTGGGGGTGGGGTGGGGTGTGGTGGCAGTGGATTACCCAAAGCCAGTTTGTGATAGTCATAAGAGTTAGAACTAGGGTAGGATGACCAGGGCTTTGTCCAAGGTGCTAGTCTCCCTGGGGAATCTTATTCCCATCCTTAGGGGCGCTGTAAGAGTCCCATCCCTCCTCCTGCCCTCTCTGCCCAGAAGAAGTTGCTGGTCTGTTCTTCTTCCCGTGGCCCATTCCCTCTGCACTACCAAGAGCCTCCGTGGCACCCACCATTGTCTTCTGTATCCTTTCCCACCCCTAACCAGTGTGGCCCTATGTTGGGGAAAGAGCTCAGGATAAATGTCCCTAAATCTCATTGTACCAATCATTTATTCCTTTTCTTTCCCCAGGGTGCCATCCTCACAACAATGTTGGTTTCCAGGAATTTTTCAGGTAAGTTTCTAGCCAGCAGGGCATTTCAGTCCTTCCAAGGTGAGTTGGGAGGTGAGGTTGGGTGGGGTGTTGTTCTCACCTCCTGTTCTCAGACACCCGAGACAAGCTATAGCTTGTTGGGATTAACAAAGGGCATTGGCCTGGGTTTGGCCTTCTCACCCCAGATGATCCTCTCCAAACTAGAATGTTCAGGCTACTTGGCTTGGGTTTAGACTCTCTAAAGAACCTTCCCTAACACATCTGGACATTAGCACCCCTGTTTCTTCTGG